CATTTGGAACTAAAAAAAAAAAAAGACCATGTAGCTCAGTATTCCCCCGATGAGAGCGCAGGGTCATCGCACCTGTATCTTCCCTGAAAATTGCCTTCGATACAGACACACAGATTCAACGACCGGCCACAGAGTTCCATTCCAAACAGATGACAGTAGAAAGATTTATTGCACCAGGTCCTGTATCTACCCTGAAAATTGACTTCGATACAGATACAGATTACATGAAAAACCCACCCTGTTCCATTCCGGAAAGATGACAGGACTGTACCTGCCCAGAAAATTGCCTTCGATACAGATACAGATTAAATGAAAAACCCACCGTGTTCCATTCAGGAACGATGACAGGAGAACGATTCTTTTCGCACGACATATACTTTCGTAAGGGCAAATTTGAAAATTTCCATGTCCAGAAATAACAAGGGTACAATCGGGCGCAGGGGGGAGAGAGAGAGAGAGAGGGGGGGGGGGGGGGGGGGGGGGGGGGAGGCAGTAAGGGAGAGGGGGGGAAGGGGAGGAGAGAGAGAGAGAAATAACTTCAAAATTAAGGGGCTCGCTCCACAACACAACGCTCCACATGCATTTGGACGCTTTTCTAGACCAGATACATTCAAAATGTTGGACGCTTTCCTGGACCAGATACACTCAAGATGATGGACGCTTTCCTGGACCAGATACATTGAAAATGTTGGATTCCTCGGAATGCACCCGGTACAGAAAACGTCCAAATGCATGTAGAGTGTTGTGTAGTGGAGCACGGCCCTAATTAATTAGCATGGTCCCTACCCATTCAAGGACGACAACCGTAATGATCAAGAAAAGGTCCAACCAAAAAAAAACAAGGGGAAAGTTGGAAAACAGAAAAAAAAAATAATCACGATAAAAATGGTAAAAATAAAAGGAAAAGCCAGCGGGGAAACAAAAAAAAAAAAGATTTCTGTTTTTTCTTTTTTCCCTCCTTAAAAAAGGGGGAAGAACGAATGAGATAGGGGGAAGAACGAATGAGATAATTTCAAATCCTGCAACAAACGACGATCCCTCTTTTAATTTTATTTTATTTTTAATTTTTTTCCCTGCCATTGTAGATCACCTTCATCGAGTTCCACTTCGCCTGCCTGCCTTTT